AAACAGATGAATAAAAATTCAAATTGAAAACACTCAGAGGACATATATAAAATCCGACTGAGTCTGTCATTTATTTAAAATGGCACAAAGGCCAGAATAATTGTTAACCGGACACATCCGGTGCAGAAGGAAAGTGGAAATGATAACCCAACCCCATGGTTGGTAAAAAGATACAACAAAACACGGCATGCAAGCCGGTAAACAACATAGTTGGCATACTGCCGCAGAAAAGTGGAGGACCGCCTAAGGCTTAGGCAGAGTCTCCTCCGGCTGAGCTTGGCTGGCTTGGCCCTCTTGCTAATCGTCCGCCTGCTTATCATCATCAGAGACTTCATATCCCTGCTCAGAAGCCCAGTCTTTGAAGCGAGGCGGTGGAGCATCACCCAGTTGCTGGGCATCATACACCTCAGTGGCGTAATCATACCTCAGCTTATAGACTTGAAAGTCTATTTCTGGGTAAAGGAGGCCCCAGGTGATCTTCAGCCGGGCCAAGTTGTCCCGCTCATTCTCCTCGGTCAGCCGGGTCTGCTCCCGGGCCAGCTCGTCCGCCTGCTTGTTGCGAAGAGTCATAAGCTCGAGCCTTAGGCGGCCATTGTCAGTCCGGAGTTCGGCATTCTCTTTGTCAGCATCCTCTAATGCCTTGAGATCAGACTTGTCATCTTTCAGCTGCTTGTCAAGGTCATCAGCCCGGCTGTTAGCTTCACCGTTTGCAGCCGTTAAACTCCGGATCAGCTCCTCTTGTTTCAACTCTACTGCTTTAATCTTTAAATTACACATATAATCAGAATGTTCAGCAAAGTTGAGGTTTTCTAGGGTCCTCCGCCTAGCGTCATTTACCTCTTCTTACTTCCGCCTGAAGGGGCCCCGGAGATTGTCCACCCTCACCATAGCCTGAATCAATAGCAATCGGTTAAAGAGTTATTTAGTCAAATTAAAGATGAAAGATATCAGGATAGAAAAATCATGTACCTCAGCCAGAGAGCCCATTATCCGGTCAAAGTCCAAAACCTGCAGATCAGGTATGGATGCCTTCTCGGACCGGGTGAGGGTCCTCACCATCCGTCTTGCAAAGCCCGAAAGGTCCGGCTTGTCAGAAGTCGGACCTGCATCAAAGGTAGTGTTATGTGAGATAGAAGCAGCTTAGCTGGCATTCATCCGTTGTCGGCTGCTGACGGATCCTTTTGAAGAATTCACCTTGGTCTTGATTCTCATGAAATCAAGTGGCCAAGGTATTTCAGTTCCTTCCTGACCTTGAGTTTCCGGATGGGTCTCCGGCTTGTTCTCCTCCCCAGTGGTTGCCGCACCGTCTGCAACCTCAGGTGGCATGCCACCCTTTGATGCCGTTGAGGCATCCGGCGTCTTCTGCTATTCTGAGCTTTCACTGAGCTTTTTCAGAACAGCAGGGGACTTGCCCCCAGTCGTTGGACGACCGGATTGGGCATAGCCTTGTTTTTTTTTTGGGGGGGGGGTCCTTTCTTGCGGCTTTGGCAGCCGGAGTCTTTTCCAGACCATCTCCTTGCCTTTTGAGAAGCTTGGAGAATGATCGAGGGATTCTCTTGGCGGACTCCTGAGAAAGAAGCAAATATGAGTACACCCAACCGGTTAAAAAAAAATGCAAACATTAAGTCAGGCGGTCTTACCTCGCCTTTCTTGTTGTCCTTTGCCTCGACGGCTGCCTTTTTGGCAAGAGCCGCCTCCTTACGCAATTGCGCAGCCGATTTAGCAGGAGTCTTGTCCTGGTCAACCATCTTCAGGGCTTCTTCTGCAAATTCAAGAATTTCAAGTTAGAAAGAATTAAAGCAAGTTTGCAATAAAAAGAAAATAACAATTGTTCTGGGTGAGAAGTATTCTACCCCTGGGAAACATTGTGCTCAGTCCGCAGGCGGACAAGAAGCATTCATCTTTGAAGAAGTCCGGATGGGGGATCCAGTTCTTAGGAACAATAATGTGAGTCCCATCCCCCATGGGCTCAGTTGTAGTTTCAAAAAATCTCGGCTCCATGATTTGCTCTCGGGCTTTAGTAGATAATTCCGGGAGAGGGCATTTGCGTCCAAGAAGAGCCGGCTATATGTTGTACCGGCGCAGTGTCCGGTTGTGTCTTAGGGTGGGGGAGGAAATCAAATAAAACTTGTCCTTCCACCCGGACCATTTGGACACTTTGTCCAAAGTCATTAAGTATTGGGGCAAGGTAGTCAGAGTATACCATGCCCCATGGCCGCCTGGAGCCTTGCTCAAATAGTGCATGTGAGCAAAGGCAAAGAAGCTAGGGTTCAAATTTTGGAACTCGCAGGCGGCGATGTAACTTAAAATGTTCACCCACGAATTTGGGGTGAGCTGCCAAACCCCCAAATCGTACCCCTTTAGGATTTTCCTAATCCCGGGGTGAAGGGGGAACCGGAGGCCGGCTTCTATTACCGCTTCATAGCAGATGAAGTAGTCATCTGCATGATCAATGTCGTCCCCCCAGGCCATTACAGTATCAGCCGGAGGGACAATAACTTCTCATCCCCTTCCAAAGGGATGTTTCTCCTTAAAAGCCCTGAACCCGCTGTTAAGAAGGGCAATGTTGCTCGGTAGCATCCGAGTTCTCTTTGGGTTGGGGTTTTCAGCCACTTTTGGCGGTTGCTGATAGTCAGCCGCAAAATCCCCCTGGTCAGAGCCGGAAGACTCTGCTTTTGATCCCTGGGCGGCTTCATTGGAGGAGGCGGCTCCCTCGCCGTCCACCTCTCTTATCCCAGAGCTCCCGGATGTAGAAGAAGCCTCTTCATCGGATCCACTCTCCTCCAAATCCCTCGGATCCCCATCCGGGAAAACCTCATCGGCTGGCACTCTCATGGTGCGCCGGCTCTTAGACCGCCTGGCCGTTTGTTTTGTTCTGGCCATTGTGTCCTGCACAGACACAGAGAGGGAGGAATTCGGAGATGAGCATATTGGTTCCGACAGTCCAGAAGAGGCACCCCCTGTTCTAGACTCAGCCGTTCCTGGGGATCGGCTGAGTGTCCTAGGCAGTGCCGAGTGGGTGGATTGGGAACTCATTTATGTTCTATAAATAAAGCCGGGTATACAGGCGAAAAAATGGTATGCAAATTGAAATGGAGAAAAGCTAAAATGGTACAGGCGGTTACCTTGCTTTAACTCTGGAAAATCTGAAAACCGCTACAGCCGGTGAGCCGGGTGATGAGCTTCTAGCACTCGGAAGCTTGAAACTTGCTGTTATGCAGGCGGGAGCAGAGGAAATTCTCTCTCTAGAAATCTCTCTTTTTCTCTCTCTAAAAAGTCAATATGAACGTAAGGTGTGAAAAAGAGGAGGGGGGGTAACTTTCTATTTATAGAGAGTAAAAGTAGGGGAAAATTTTGATTTGAAACTCAAAATTTTACCCGTTACTGTTCACCTATGAAAGGTGGACACGTGTCACAGGCCCCACGTGACATGCATGTGCGACCTGTGAGGGGCAAATGTTTAGGGAATTTTTACCCTAGACGCGTGGACCAATGAGAGGTCGCCACGTGTCAAGGTCAGGATGACCCATGTGGCTCAACATCCCCTTGACACTTGGCGACCTCAGATATGTTTCTGAATTTACGGCTTTCAAAAGGCCCAAACTCCTAGGAGCGCTGTAAAACGGCGCAGCCCACCAGAATCTAGGTCAAGTGACCTAGGTAGGGGCACATTTTCCAATGACCCTATAAATAGGGAGATATTTCCCCCATTTTGGGGGACACAATTGAATCATTTATTACACCCTTATTCTCTTACATCAGAGAAAGACCTGAGCTTGGAATCCGAGCAGATACCCACCTAAATATCCGTTCTCTCTATTACGTTTCAGACTTTCAGGTTACTAACTTGTGCGTCGGAGGCGGAGCACCACCCAACCGGTGTCTCCGTTTATTTTGCAAGTACAGCTCACTGCGGATCAATCTTCATGTTGTAACTCTCCCGAGGGACCAAAACACCCAAAACAATAAGGATAAATTATATTGGTTGAAATGGTATTAAGTTAGGAATTCATGACAAAATCACGCGTCGTTCAGTGTAATTAATGTTAATTTTACTCTAATATTTGCACTTTAGTTCTCTTATCTAACGCCCCGAGGGCGCTCATTAGCTTTTGCCTTAAAAAAATCAATTAACAAGCAAGATTGTGGCATCAACACTATCAAACTTGAATTGATGAGTCATAACCTAAAGAAAGGATAGGAGAAAAAAGGCACATAATCACCATGAGAAAGGGAAAATGAGATAATACTCTTCATGAAGGCATTTTGACACATTCCAAAATTCCTATCATTGTGGAAGCCATTGATTTAGGTGAAGGTTTTTGAAGACCAAAAGGTTGAAATTTTTAATATACTATTAATAAATATTCATAGGATAACTATTATTTAAAATTTCAAAGGTGATTTGTCATTGATAACTTTTAATTAACAACACTTCAAATGAAGCATTTTTAATTTTTTATGCACCTCAGTTTTTTGAATAGTCAAGATTATCTTTCTTTCTTTGCTAATTTAGACAAATTATACATCAGAACAGATTCATTTTAGTACATTTCAAAATTATATAAATCATTATTTGATCTAATAAGATCCTAAGCGTAGATATAAAATATTTTTACTATGGATGATTTTACGAAATTTTGTTCATTCCTATCTTGTAAATTGATTAATTAAGATGGATAATCAAATTTCTAAACCAACAAATCTCACATTTCAATGCAATGTACAATTTAATTTCATGATAATAGTATTAAACATAACGGAATACTCCATAATAAACAAGATTATGGTCCCCAACCCAACATTTGTTTTCATACGTTGTCTTTGTCATTGATAATGCTTAGATTAATCAAGCATAGCATTGCTCAGAGTCAACTAGCATTTTTTTTTTCTCGTAATAGGTGAAATTACCAAATGGCACATACCAACTTCCTCGTTTGGCAAGTAATTAATGGACCACATCACATGTATCAAACTATCAATTGTAGAAAAAAAAAAGGTAATAAGGCATACTCGTACTTGTATATTAATAGAACTAATTAATACGCAGTAAAAGTATATATTAGACATTTACAGACACATAATAGACGCTTAAATTACTCTAAACAAAAATACATCTTTGTTACACACCGACCACTAATCATACACATATAGTCATGTATCATAAATTCATAACTATAGTGTGATGACAACATTTTCATAACACCCTTAGGCCTAGTACATTGATTAGGATCTAATAGACTCTCCAACAACTTGGATTATCATACAAAGGACTTTTACAACATAAACAGCACTTGTATCAAAAACCTCGTACTTAAAAGTATAATCACATGCTACTGATTCTTGTATCTGGATTAGTTGATCCTAACCTAGCAACATGATACTGTGCGGCATACTTGTACTTGGGAACTTCTCCTTCTATTACCGGCGGCTCGTTAAGGAATGCCCAATTGCTTCTTGTCCACCTGCACACGTACAATTGCAGTTTAAATTGCACTACTAACGTGATTATTTATATCCATTTTTACAAAATACATTAGACCGTGCATATAACTTAGAGGTGATCACATTCAGCCCGGCTCGAAAATAAAACGGGCTTTGACAAGCCTAAAAACACATTTTAGTCCAAAATCCAAATAACACCTGAAAACCCGCTATATTTTTTGCGGGTTTAAAGACCCGGTCCAAATTTTTTACCACCTCTAAAATAACAAAATAAACTTACCAGCCATTAAGATGTTCAAGATCGGCATCAGATTCCTTGCCTACAATGATTTTACTACTCTTTCTATCAATCATTGGCAACGAAGTCGATCTTTTAAGCTCATTTGGAGCAGATTCTTCATTAATTATATCCTGCAAATGGGTAATTAAAATCTCAAAATCAATGAAATAATTAACAAGATTAACAACTAATTAAGAAACTTATTAATTATATCAAAGATAAATCATTATTCATACCTGAACTCTAGGAGAAACAGCTTTAAGATGTTCTTCCTCTGTTTTCTTCCTGAGTTTCCAATAATCTTCAATGCCCTCTTTCGTTAGTGACTTGTTTCTCATCAATTTTACTAATCATCACCAAAAAAATTTAGTTAGTCAAGATGATTTACATTGAACGATACCACATAAACAAGGATTGTCACACGTGATAGGCTTAACGAACACAACTTATTTTAAATGCTTCTCCATAACTTTTAACAGTAGATATGAAGCATTCTAATAATCCGTACACACGGGAACAACATTTTATAAAACGATTTCTGAATTGTGTTACATTAAATTTACATGTTACAATTATATACTTCATGAGACCAAGAATTACATACCATATTTTTGATCTTGAACCGGGGAATCCCATCCAGACATTAAGGAACCCATGACTTGATATTTTTTGTGCTTCAACTTTTGTTTTTGATTTTGTTTCTTCACTCTTAATTTTATTTTTTGTTGTAATGCACTCTATTTATTTATTTGTAACAAGTTTTTTGGATTTTAAAGTAAGATAGATTCAAAGTTAGTGATGAGGTGGAGCCCACCATAATATATGATTCTTATCTACATTGTTATTTAAATGATACATCCTTTGATTTTTAAGGTAATGTTTCCCGAGCTATCTTTATCAACTTTAATTAAAAATGGACAAGATATTTTTAGGAATGGACAAGATATTTTTAGGAATGTACTAGATAATTAATTTATTAAAAATAGAAAGTTAAAGTTTGCATAAACTATGGACTTTATTGTAGTACATATGATAATGTTTATCTAAAAAACTATGGATTTAAGTGTTAAACCGCTTCAATCTAGATTCATATTACATATGGCGTATAAGCTGTCAAAACTATGGAATTTATTGGAAGTTGACTCTAATTTTTGGATTTTATAGTTTCTCTCGATTATCCAACTAAGTTTTGGATGAAATATAGATGTGTTTATATTTGATAATCTTAAAAATCCAAATTTGATTCCTTGTATAAATGACGTGTATATAATACTTGTACACCAAGACATATATTCAGCATTCACATCATCACATATACGGTTGTATGACTTGTATCTTGTATGTTGTGTGTCATGCATATATCGATTTGGCCGCTACAATAATGTTGTATCTTGTACCTTACCAAGTATTCTGTTAGTACCTTATAATGTACTTCGTATATAATCATAACAAAGTTTGTATCTTTTATACAGTACGTATATAATGATGAATTATCACCAAGCATAGCTTAGTCTAGTGGTCAAGTTTGTGTCTCATAACCAAGAGATTGTGGGATAAAACCCTACTAGAGACACTTTGAGAGCGGGGATTCCCATACCCTTTCCCCTCACTCTTAAAGTGATCTCTGAGAGGTTTTCGATATATATATAATGATGAATTATCACTACCAAAAAAATGTCCATATAGAAAGGAATTCTAGCGATGGAATTTTATCCATTTCTAAATTAGAGACGGAATCAAAAAATCCATTTAGAGACGGAATTAGCAACGGAATTGAAAATCCGTCTCTAAATTAGAAACGGATTTTTTTTCCGTTGTTAAATTAGCAACGGATTTATTTTCCGTTGCTAAATTAGCAACGGATTTATTTTCCATTGCTGAATCTAGCAACGGATTTATTTCCCGTTGCTAAATTAGAGATGGATTTTTTTTCCGTTGCTATGTTAGCAACGGATTTTTTTTTCCGTTGCTAAGTTAGAGACGGATTTTTTTTTTTCCGTTGCTAATATGAGCGAAGGATTTTTGATTCCGTCTCTAGATAATTTTTGAAACTAATTATTTAAAATATTACATACATTAGATACGAATTATGCAAGTTAAATTCATCTCTAAATTAGAAACGGATTTTCAATCCGTCTCTAAACTAGAAACAGATTTTTAAATCCGTCTCTAAATTAGAGACTGATTTGAAAATCCGTTTCTACATTAGAGACGGATTTTAAATTCCGTCTCTAATATTTCTTTCATTTATCATCAATTATGTGCGTAAAAGTAAACAAATAATATTTGGTATAGTTGGTACGAGTTTTACTATTTGACATTGAGGTCACGGGTGACTTCTACTAACAGCAATATTGCGATTGGAGATTCAAGGAAAAGTTTTTACCAACAGAGTGATTCCGTCGATAATCCGTAGCTAGCTATGTCAGATTTTTTTTTTTTCCGTTGCTAAGTCCAGCGACGTATTTTTTCCGTCTCTAAATTCATTTAGCGACAAGGTTTTTACCAATAGAGTGATTCCGTCGATATATCCGTAGCTAGCTATGTCCAACGACAGATTTTTAGCAATTAGCAACGGATTTCACCTTTTGCTAAAAGGCCAAATTTTTGTAGTTTATCAATCGGTGGTGGATCCCACGTAATGCATGATTTTTTTTTTTCAATTCAACACCCGAGTTATTTCAAGCTTATCATAGCTCTTAAATTACACATATATAATGTCATAAGTTGTGGATGAATACGATAATGCATGGTGGACGGACTAGGTTGTCTAGTCAAATATTGCTTGTATTGCAATTAAATAAATAAATAAAAAATGGCTAACTAGATTCCCTACCTTATAAAAAGTAGAAAATAACTCTTAGGAATAGTGTGCTACCAATTATACCCTCAAAAATATGTACAAAATTGTGTACAAAAATGTATATTTACTTTTTTTACCCTCATTAATATATTTGATTGGGTTTTTTTTTTCATTAAACATATCATCAATTAATACAAAGTTTTTTTTAACAAAAACTTGTAATGCCTTTTTTTAAATAAAAAAAATTATAATGTTTTGTACTTCATATGTTATTATTGTTATTTAAAAAGGAAAAAAAATTGTATGTACGAAGACTTTGTTTATTACCACGAGATGATTTATTTTTACTCCTTCGTGGTTGCTCTTCTTATTTACAATTTTGTTTTCCTTTAATTATTACAAATATTGTTAAGGTTTATTAGCTTTTTAATTGTATATTACTAGGTGTGAAGCCCGTGCGATGCACGGGTTATGTTTCAACAACTTTTGTATACAGCCGGTGTACAATTATTTACTATACATCGGGGTCACTTTTTGCCAAATTTAGTGTCACTTTTACAAATTTTTGTGTAACTTTTATCAACAATGAAGTATAACTAACTCTTAATTATGTCAGAATAACTTTTATTCATTTTAAGGTAACTTTTGCACATGTTAGTGTCACTTTAATTATAACAAATGTATAATATTTTATTGTACATTTGTTTTATTTAAAAGGTTTGTGTTTTGTGTGTGTTTAATGTTATTTTATTATTAATTACATATTATTATAAAACACCATTTTTTTCAAACTTTATAATATGAAAAAATTATAATGTATTAAAATTACTAAGATAATAATAATTTTTACAAAAATATCTTATTTTGCTCCATAGATGATAGATATAATCTGTTTGGGTCCAATTTAGTCCAATTGGGCCTAGGCATTAAATGATCCAATTAAAAGCCCAAGGTCAAGGTTCAACTCTCCAATTGTGCTAAAGTCAAAGGTCAGCCCTCAAAGCAAGCCCAGTGGGCTAAGGCCCAACCTCTCCATGTATGAAGAGGTATAAAAGCCATCAATATTCATACATTCATTTATTCATAGATTCCCATACATTCTCATATATTCTCATATATTCAAGCAAAGCCTCAAGCAACTAACTCTCTTGCATAGTGTTCTCTTTCTACACATTGTACTGACTTTAGCATCGGAGGGGCCTTCCTCGGCAACACCCCCGAGCCTAGTTTACGTGTGTTTACTGTGCAGGAAACCTTCGGCCCAGCATAACTCGGACCGAATCCAGTCTTCTCCGTTTCAGCGGACCTTCGGCAAGGTCCCATTGTTTTCACCCGAAACAATTTGGCGCCGTCTGTGGGGAGGACTTTCAAAAATCTTTAAGCCAAATTTCTAACCAAGATCATCTTGCAATTATCTTAGTAGCAATGGCTAAGAACCGCAAGAGCAAAAGCCTCCGTCAAGGAGCGGGCGAAAAGCCTAAAACCCCTACACCATCACCCTCGCCGGACCGGAACTCTCCCAAGGGTGCCAGCTCGGGGGGAGGATCATACAAGGAGGATTCCCTTTCTCCCGTAATTCATGACTCTCATTATAGGCCGAGTCACTCTCGGTCTAGCAGGGGTGAGTCCGATCATAGGACACATTCAGTGCCCCAAAGCCAACCATCGGCTGCGCGCCCTCATTCCCATACTCGGCCGAGGACCCCTTTGACGGGGCCCAGCTCGGAAGAGGTGGCAAGAGCGCTGGCAGTGCTCATGGAGGCGATGAGGGCACAAAATATGCCACCACCTCGTGATCGAACTCCTCCGCATACCCGGCATCAGCGGAGGAAGTTAGACCATGATGGTGGGAAGCTTCCTTCCTTCCGGGAACTGGAAGAGTGGGAAGAGGATTCCTGGAAAAATGAAAAAGAGAGGAAAAAAAACCCTCAATTTTTAAAAGGATCCTCATCCTCAAGACCAGAAGCGCATAAGAGCAGCAGCTCAGCTTCTCGGCCAGAATCTACTCACCGAGAACCTGAGACTGTTCGCCGAAGCGTCCTTGACCGACTCGGCAGCAAGGAACCGAGCATGCGCAGTAGCCTCTCGTTCCCTGCAGCCGAGGCCCAGACTTCCCAGCCAGGGACGAAAACCACTCCTACCTCTCTAAGAGGGCGGAGCGCGGTCCCTTCGGCCAGGAACAAGGGCAAGGCCGTTATGCTACCCGCCAGTTCACCATTCGAGCAATGGATACTGGAAGAGCGCGTACCCACGGTTAAAATACCGTCGCACATCACATATGACGGGACCTCGGATCCGAAGGATCACGTGGCCTCGTATGAGACTCATATGCATCTTTGCCCCAGATCCGAGGCGACTTGGTGCAAATATTTCCCTACCACTCTCAAGGGGGTCGCGCAAGCGTGGATCTCCAAGGGAGTAAGGCAAGGCTCCATAACAGGTGGGATGATCTGTCCTCCAAGTTCAGGAGCAAGTTTTCCACGGCAAACCGCCGAGAGAAGACTACTGCAGAGCTCATGAGTCTACAGCAGGGGGAAACCGAAAGCCTCCGAGACTATCTGACCCGTTTCAGTAACGAATCATCTAGCGTCTCCCAGCTGGACAGGGGCTAGCCGTTTTTGCAATGCAGAATGGCCTTCAGCCCGGAAAGTTCCTAGACTTCATGGTCATGCATACCCCGCAGACCTTGGAGGAAGCTCTGAATGCCTCGGACAAGTTCATCCGAGCCGAAGAATGGAACAAAGCGAAAACCCAACCTCAATTTGGGGGAGGGAAACAAAGACAAATACCTTGTCTGAAGGCCAAGGCCATAAGGCAAAGGGAAAGTCAAAGGCCTCGAGTAATCTTGGCCAGCGACCCAAAGAAGGAAAGATTTGCCTCATACACAGGCAGATACGAGTCCTACACTCCGCTCTCTCTTCCACGCGCCAAAATTTACAGCGTGACGAAGGAGGAGCAGAGTTACCGAAAGCCGAGACCACTCCCAGAGTGGTATCAGCGA